CAAGACTTACACGTGGACCAAGGATAGTCCCTGAACCAATGAAACTTCTAGTGTCAACGCGAGGGCCCTGCTGGGCGGTTGCCGGCCAAGACAGACACTTCGCATCCCAGCCACACGGGGTAGAACTTAATCATCCCTGTGGTCTAACCGTAGATGGTACTAGTCCGTCAGCCAGCATGTGCCCGAGCCCAAGTCGCGTACGACTTAGGCAGCGGACCGCCCCGTCGAGGTCAGAAGACGCACTGATCCGAGGGGGTCACCCTGGAACCCGATGCATGACGAGATTGACAGTGACTGGAAATGAGTGTCGGAGACGAGTCGTGAGGATGACTTACGAAGCATGTACTTATCGAGTACACGAGAGCACGTCGCGTAGGCTAGTCGGTACTTACGAACGATCGCGATTATCGCGAGAACAATTATGTTCTATTTGCTAAACGAGGGGGATAAGAAAATGATAGAGAATTTATAAATTTCGCTCCAAATTAGGTAGCTTACCTTTGTACAGATAGCGCGCACATGATACTTAGTCTATGGATCTATCTTATGATTACTTAAAAGTAAACGCACGCATCGTTCATTGATGTGTCGCAAACAGAATCTTGAGAAACCTAAAAGCTAAAACAGAATATATTATTGTTAATATGTAGCTGAAAGGAAAGGGATTAGTACGAGGAAACCATCAAGGATAATAACCAAATGGAACGAGCAAGCCAACGACGAGACCTGAGCAACATAACTACGAGACAGAAACATTCCAACGGTGAGATATAAACATACCAACGAGGAAGCGCTCGAGTATTATACGAAATACTCGAACGCTCTAACGAAAACAAATCGAACGGAAGTCGTAAAATTTGTGAAAGGAAAGATTTAGCCAACGATGAGACATAAGTAAACCAACGACGAAGCATTCGAATATTATACGAAATACTCGAATGCTGAAACAAAGACACATAGAATGAAAAAAATAAAATCTGCAAGAAGAAATTATTGTTAAATTATTTAAGAGAGTGGACAATGGCCACTGAATAGCCATTGATCTAGCCAACGATGATATACAATTAAAATAAACCAACGACGAAGCATTCGAATATTGTACGAAATACTCGAATGCACAAACAATGAAAACTAGAATGAAAGAAATAATATCTGAAAGAAGAAAGATAATTAAAACCTGAAAGAAAAAATAATTAGTACCTGAAAGAAGGAATTATTATTAAATTATTCAAGAGAGTAGACAATGGCCATTGAATGGCCATTGATCTAGCCAACGATGATATACAATACAAATAAACCAACGATGAGGCATTCGAATATTGTACAAAATATTCGATTGCACAATCAATGAAATCTAGAATAAAAGAAATAGAATCTGAAAGATAATTAAAACCTGAAACAAAAAGAAAGAATATTAACGCGGACCTTCCGAAGGCGAAGCGACAACTGGCTGGAGCCAGCACGCGGGCCCCTTATATAGCGGCGGCCGGGCGAAGATCGGCGAAAATTTCCGAACTTTACCGATTCCTTTAAAAGTTACTTTTTCGCTGTAATAACCAATTATTTATTAACTTTTTTAACTTTTATCGTTAATATACTTTGCAAACTATTTGTTATCAATGATTTTAATTTGTTATTAACAATAAATTTATTAATTTATTAACTTTTTGTAAGTTATGAATACATTCTAACACAAATACGTCGTTTGTTTAAGTAGTAGCTTATAATTTATTAACTTTTTTTACATTTATCGTTAATATACATTGCAAAATATTTGTCATTAACAATTTGAATTTGTTATTAACAATAAGTGTAGCAGTTTATCAACTTTATGCAAATTTTGCACGAATACGTTATATATACTAGCAATAGCCTGTAATTTAGTAATTTTTCCACTTGTATTGTAAATTTACGTTGTGAACAATTTGTTATTAACAATAAGTGTATTAATTTATAAATCTTTTCCAAATTATAGGCACATTTTAACATTGATATAATATTTATCAAGTAATAACCGATAATTTATTAACATTTTTAACCTTTATCTTTAATATATGTTGCAGAGAATTTTGTTACTAGCAATATTAATTTGTCATTAACAACCAGTGTAGCAATTTATTAAGTTTCTACAAATTATACATTGCAAATTTTAGACAGTTTAACACAAATAAGTTATATGTACTAGTAATAACCAATAATTTAGTAATTTTTTACTTGTATTATAAATTTACGTTATGAGCAATTTCTTATTAGCAATAAGTGTAATAATTTATAATCCCTTTTACAAATTGTGGGTATATTTTAACATTAGTACGTTATAGATTCAAGTAATGACCAATAATTTATTAATTTTTTACTTTTATTATAAATTTACACTGTGAACAATTCATTATTAACAATTTTAATTTGTTATTAATGATAACAATCTAGAAATTTATACGTTTTACATACTCTAACTGCATTCGCACTTTCGCAATATATTCGCAATATATATTATAAAAAATGAGATCTACTTGTCGATGATTTTGATGTCGATTACGTATTGCTACAGCCCTGACGAAGCTAGATATGGAAACAACTACTGCGTGGAGGTAAAATGAAATTCAAATTACAGCATTAATTTTCCTATGCGTGAGCATTTACGTACAAAATCAAGATCAATTTTCTTTCCTTTTTTCTTTCTCTGTCACAGAAAAATAATATATATAATCTTATCCTATTTAAATCCACGATAATCGGAAGGAAATTTGCAAACAAAAATGGTTGATTATCTTTTTTCTGATCAATCAAACACGATCAAAACGGGAAACAAACATGAACCGGAACCACGCGTTATTTCACAACACCGAGTTACATAAAACGCAATGAATATAATAAACCAATTACGCGATCTGGATATGGGGTCAATTTAATCCTGTTACATAACAGAGCGAGTAAATATAATATATACAAAATTGTATAAAAATTCTGCACCCGGATAGTATAAGGAATAATCAAGTGTGGTCGATTTTCGTCTGGAAAAATTTGCGATTCTTCGTTTACTGGGGATGAAGTTGTTATTTCGAGCGGATTGGACACTCAGGGGGTGGATGCACGTCTACGGAGGTTGTAGAAAAGGAGGGAAATATTCTGACAGGGTAGGAAGTGCCAGGTTAAAGAGCAGTTAGCTAATTAACGCGACCGTTCGAACGGCTGCTAGTTAAAAATTTATTTTGCCCATTAGGAAGTTTATAAATTTCGTTTAACTTGCACCTGTGCATGAGACCGTTCCTTGCTTTCGCTGGCCATTTCGTTCGTGATCAATTCGAACGGACCGAGAGCTGCAGCTTCATCCGAGTATCATCCGTTTTTTGATACGTTATCCATTCCTGAATACCAATACCTGCCACGTCTCTCATCAAAATGCGTTATTTATCGAGATTTGCGCGAATGTTGCCCAAATAGACACCTATCTGGTAATCGAAATTAATAAAATATGATTGACGTTGACACTATAGGAACGTAGTACATTCAAGAATGTCAACGCAACCCAGTTCAGACATACTCATATCGTATAATTGATCCCAAACGGCATTTGAAGATTAAGAAGAATCACCAAGGCTAAGTCATTGACGATCAGGTCATTTAAAGATCGTGAGAAGTCATCCAGGTTATGTAATTGGTACTCGACTCGTTTCAAGATCACTCAGAGATCACTGAAGTCGTGACATTGGAAACTCAATGTCGTTTGAAGATACAGAAGACTCTGCCAAGTCGTTTATTAAAAGTAAAGGTCATTTTAAGATCACTCAGGGGTCATGTGAGTCATGCTCGAGACCACTCGAAGGTTATGTCATTGTCAAAAATCGCGTAGAAGTTTTGAACGAAGAAGTTTGTCAACGTGGTGTCAAGTACTGGGGACAATCATATCGATACCGATAATGAAAATAAAATTCCAAAGTCTTCAGCAGCTAATGGAAGGTACCCTATTAAAACCCAGCTGACGCATCTACCTACTGTCAAATAGAAACGATCGTACAGACAATCGAGAAACTCTATCCAGGTCCTGGAAGATTCTAAAGAACGAGGTCAAACCCCCTAAATATGGGTAATAAGGTGAAAATTATTAAATTATTTAAAGGGGAGGGTGTAGGTAAGGTGGTCAATTATAACCTCACTTCGGACCCCCTCTTTCTGTGCATTAGAAAAATTTTAATATTTTACTTCCGAAGTCAAATCAACAAATAATTCGAGTAGTAGCACATCGCCATTTATACAGCCCCCGATTGGCCGAATATTGACAGAAATTTCCGAACTTCACCGATTCCATTAATTATTATAACAATTATTTAATAATTAATAATTCTTATAATTATTTAATAGTTATTTAACAATTATTAGAACCCAGTTAAGGCATCCACCTACTGTCAAATAAAAATGATCGTACAGACATTCGAGGGACCTTTAGCCAGGTCCTGGAGGATTCTAAAGAACGAGGACAAACCCCTAAATATACCTGAAAAGAACAGAAGCCCAAACACTTGCTGTATTCAATCTCCACGCCCCTGTCTCTCGCCAAACGGAACCCCCCGCCATGATCTCTCGCCAAACAACTTCCTCTGCGTCTTCGAAACCCGGACCTCGCCCGACTTCATCACAACTTCATCTCGTCTTCATCTCCACTTCATCTCCACTACGACCATCGCACTTCCACCACGACCACTCCTCTCTCATTGACCTTCCCTCGTCGTTACGTCCTCGACGTCGCAGCGAAAAACACTCGGCGCGAGCGTCATTAGCGTCCAGAGGACTGGACACAATAAATCCTCATTCTCAGCCGGCCTACTTTCAATTAGCCCTGCTAATTGCCGGCGATGATGCAGCCGCCTGAGTGGTTTCGCGTTTCAGCTTGAAAAATTCGCGTATCGTCGTGGGATCCTGGGGGCCAGCCGCCTATTTCTGGAGAACTAGACTGCCCTTACATCGTCGCCGGCACGGAATTATGTAAAAGGACCAATTGTTGTTAATTCGCCGAGTTTATATAAACCTGTTGAACAGTCTGCTGCACGATTGTGGTGCCAGAGGCTGTTTTGTGCGCGGGAAATCGTGTTCGGAAGTGTCACGGAAGACGACGAATCGTTCGTAGAGGTATCTGTCAGGGTGGAGATTCGTTGTCGAGGGACGACATTCGATGATCTTTGGACTGTATTGGCTGGAAGGGTAGAAAGACGAGAGGAAGTGATCGATCAGTGGTGGATGCATGGTAAAAGGGATGTTTATCCTGGTTAGGAAGTCGACCGAGTGGGTTCGCGAATGGAAATTATTCGTTGCACGGCAGATCGTATGGTGAATTTGTTCAAGGTAAACTGCCGTGTTCAATTTTTCACTCTCGAATGGAACTTCCTTTATCGTTAGTCGCATTAACGAGAAGCTTTTCGCAGAAAGTAGCTTCGTAAAATGCCTCGCGAAACAAGGTTAAACGTTTTAAATATTTGCTGATGGACAGAAACAGGATTAAAATGCAATTTCTTCGTAGCTCGCTGTACCCTTGCCTATCTGAAATGAAATTCTCCGCCCTTTAGAATAATATTTTTTCATGGCTGCAGCCGTTATGTCGAGTAGCTATTATGGTATCGTAATATTAAAACGCATAAATTAGATATTTTCGAAATATCGACGGTAGCAGAAATGTGCAGTAAATGACAGGTCAAATGATGATCGATCGTGGTTGATAAAATAGATCGTACATAGATCTTGAAAAAAGCAAAGGAACTGGAAAAAGAGATACGAAAAGAATAATCATATGGGAGTTGAAATAACAATATAATGATTTACGAAAGTCTAAAATAAGAAAAATAATAAAAATCTGAAAACAAGGTAAAACTTATTAAATTATTTAAGGGGGAGGGTGTAGGTGGAGTGGTAAATACTAACCTCACTTTTCAATCTGTGCACTAAAAAATTTTAAAGTTTCACTTCCGAAGTCAAATCGATAAATGACTCGAGCAGAGGCACGTTGCCATTTGTATAACCCCCCATTGACCGAATATTAACAGAAATTTCCAAACTTCACCGATTCCATTAATTATTATAACAATTATTTAATAATTATTTAATAATTATTTATAATAATGAATATCCCCACGTTCTCATTTTTCACGTAATACTTCATTTTAGTCGTGCCCTTTTAAAGAGACTCCCATTTTTCGAAAACTGGGCGATAGATCAATTTTGATTACAGATTCGTGTTCAGAAAAGTAATTCTC